TATAATTATGTTTTAAATTAAGTTACTTGTTTGCTTATTAAGTTACAAGTTTAAATTGGTTACTTTTTGAATATTTTTAAGTTTTTTTTTTTTTTTTTTGATACGTGTCATAAATAAGATTAACATAATATGGGTATAAAATTATTTAATTAAAATTGATTACAACTGTATGCAAAAAATATTCAAAAAGTAACCAATAATAAATAATTATAAGTGGTTGTATGCATTTTATAATGAATTGCAAAACTGTATTATTGATTAAAATTTGAATGGCTCTCATTTAGTTAATTTAGGTTTAAGAGCCATGGTTAATTGGTCAAAATGACGTAAAAATATTCAGTCTATCCGAATTTGGTATCAAAAATAACAGGTTGCCATTAAAAAAAAAAAGTTGCGTTGCGCATGTGCGTACCAAGCCGGTTAAAAATGTGAAGTTTATCTGAAAATGTGTATTTATATACCAACAGTTTGTAAAAAAAATTTGATTTATTCCAACATAATCTGGCCGAGAAATTCAGTGTTCCCTAAACTGGTGAACACACGGTACATATAAGGGGTTACAAGTGTACCAGTGATATAGTTACATGTCATCACAACGTTGACATACTTTAAGTTATTTCAGATATAACAAAACAGCAAAAATGGTAATAAGTATACTGTGGGTTGCCATTAAAAATTCTCTAAAATTGATTGTCGGTGAAAAGTTTAGGAACCTCTGTACCAACAGAGTACAGTTGTCTACTTGTCTATTTACCTACCAATATATAATCATAAGTATCATCAATTTAATATCTAAATTTTTAAATAAAGCTTTGAAGTTTGTTAGCTTGATTTGAATTCATCTCATTTTTTGATGTAATACATTGATTTTTTTATTGATTTTGATTTTTGCTAATTTAAAACGATWCTTTGCACGTCGTGGAGTATCCAGGTCTGATGTTGTAATATCACTAACAAAACATTTTGTAGAATTATTTTCCTTAAGTATTTTTAAATAATTTGGTACTTGTTTGTTATCGCCCCGCCAGTACACCGTATAACATTTATCTCCCCGCCACTCTTGTTTGTTATCGCCCGGCCATAAATAAAATATATTATAATACAATACAAAAATGTAAAAAAAATGTATTATTATTATAGATTTAAAAGGAGGCCATTTAAAATTAAAAAATGTATTACAATTATAAATTTAAAAAAAAAAATAATATAAATAATAATACTGAATACA